GGAGAAATGAGAATTACAAAAGTTTATCATAATAAAAACGAGTTATGGTTCCCAAATTACAAGTTTGCTATTTTTATTTTTTTGAGATCTCGTCACAAAAAAAAAATATATATATAATTTTTTTAATACATCGTATTGATTCGAAAGATTCTACCGCAGTACGCGAACAAATCTTCCGCTATAAATTCAGGTACGCTTCTATTTATATTTCTTATTAATTCAATACGAGATTGTGTATTTAGATTTACAGATGTATTAATTTAAAAAATATTTATATTACGACACATCAGTCATGTAATTGAATTATTAATAGTTTTATTACTTTCTATAATGACATAAGTTCGAATTAAACTCTGGGTTATATATATATATATATATATGTTTTTGTTAAAATAATACATAAATATTATACAATCATTAAAATATATAAACTTTTAATTGAAAAAATTATACCCAACTCTTTGATCCATATGGTAGAGTGGATTACATTACAAAATACAAAGATAAAATGGGAAAATGAAGAGGATGAAAAGACAAAAATGCCCCTCTCATTAATTCCCCCAATCACGGAACTTGGTTGGCTTTCATTGAAGATTGTTCATGGCAGGGAATTGTAATGGCAAAAGAATTCAGCTTGTTGGCTTCTTCTTTCTGCAACTTCGCTTCGTTAGATTCAACGTCCCCTTTCATCAAAACGCTGCCGTTTGACTCAACCTTCTTAGCAGGTTCCACTGTCTCCATCTCTTTGCTTTCTTTGTGCTTTCCCCAAAGCACAGAGTAAAGGCCTATAACTATCAACACGGCACCAATTACACTGCACCAGTACGCGTAATTTAGTTAGTTTAATTAATAATTAATCTGGGTTAAAGTATATTCATGTGGGTATGTATATGCATATAAGGTAATTACCCTCCAAGAAAAATTTTCTCAGAAAGGATGAAACAGCCCATGATGGCAACAATGATCATCATCAAGGGACTAAAAGCAGTGGCGAAGACTGGACCTCTCTTCTTTATCACTAGTCCTTGCACGTAGTATGAAATACTTGATGTCACAATCCCCTACCATTTTGCAAAACAACAAAAACTATCCATGATATATGTAAATATTGATAAACCAATATAAACACATATATATCTATGCAGGAAAGAGAGAGAGAGAGAGATATATACAGCATAGGCTGCAGCAAGGAGGTTCATGTCCCATCCAATTCTCCACACTGAGGCCTTGTGTTCCATCACAAAAGTCACTGCAATTGCTTGTAGGGTACCTATGAAACACACCAGCGTTGTGAGGGATAGCTGGTGGTTCTTGTACGTCTTCAATGCTCTAGTCTGATTAACAAAAATAAAACCTTTTAAGTTAAACCCAGTTGAACTTCATGTATATTCTCTACCCACCGTACATATGTATAGAGATATACCTGTAGAACAAACAAAGATGCCCATGCAAAAGTGGCAATGATGAGTAGAATGGAGCCCTTGAACCAATCTTTGTCGGAGATTTGGCCGGAGGTGCTGGCGGTAGAATTATGAGGATGGACATGTTTGGTCCAGACCATCTCCACGATCGGACCCTTGTATAGAGTCATCATCATTGCCCCTGACACTGTTACCATAGTTCCAGCTATCTTCGCTTGGCACCTCACTTTCTTCAAGTCTATCTTCTCCATCCTATACACCGAGACCAGATTTACATAATTGAAATTCATATTGAATTCTATAGGGAATTTAGCTTGCTTACCGAAATAAGAGAGCCATCACGAATGTCATGGCTGGGAGCATGTTGCTCATAGCACAGGAGAAGGTTGGAGATGTAAACTTGAGGCCAGCATAGTAGAAGTTCTGGTCAATCACCGGCCTGTTTATAGATACAGAAAATATAATATGGTCACCTTCTTTTTTTCCCTTGTTTATGATTATTTGGATGTGTGTGTGTGCATATATATATATATATGTATGGAATTAAATTTTAATTACCCAAGAAGACCCAGGATGAATAATTGCATAAAGACTGGAAATGTAATCCTCGGTTGCCCTTTCCTATTGAAAGAATATTATAATTAACAAAAATATTCATTAACACACACACACACACACACATATATATATGTAATCAACTATTAGTGATTAGAGAATTAACAAAAAAAAGAAAACCTCTCAAAAAGAAAAGCAAAAGGAGCGATGACAGCGGTAGCAATAGCATGTCGATAAACAACAAGAACATAGTGGCTCATGCCATGATTGAGAGATACTTTGGTGATAATATTCATGCCGGCATAACCAAACTGTAATGAAATCATGGCAAAGTATGGCTTTGAGTTCTGAATTAAGCTGTTGTCGAATCTCAGTTTCTCCATTATTTTTTCTTGAGAAAGTTGTGCCCAGAAGGAACAAAGTTAGGAGGGGGGGGAAAAGGGTGTGTGCTTGTATGGCAAGTGTGATAATGGTAAGGGATATTTATAGACATAAAATTATACGTATACAAATTATTAAATAAAAAAAGTGACAGACTTTTTCCCCCTTCTCTTTTCGTTTCTTCTTTTAAGGGGGACAAATTCCTCTACTAATTTAACTATACTACTCCACTAGATCCCCTACTCAACATTTCATCCATATACACTTCTTGTAGTATCTTAATAGTGCATGTGGTGTAAGATTATCCAATAGCTGGGGGAAACTTGAGAGAAGTCAAGTCCCATCTGAGTTAACAAATTAGGACATCCAACTTCAAGACACACTTAACAAAAAGGTCGCAGCCAATGAGGTAGATTTGGTTTCCCAACACCATCTTTTGAGACCAGAAGAATTATGAGACTTCCATCAAATAGTGTACTGTTCAAAACTAGAGTTGGGTTTTGCTCTAATGAGCCTAGAGAGAATCTATACAAACAAATGTCATTAGTAACAAAATGTATGTTTTATTTACCATGAAATTACCCTAATCTCTTTATGTGTAGGTAAATGGAAATACACTTTTATAAGAACAAATATATATATATATATATATATATGTATCATAATATTTGTTATGTAAAGATTATCCATAGGTTAATATTACTTTTAACATGGTGATACAGATTAAGAGGTGGGTGGGTTACAAGTGGCAACTAGTGGTGGGAGGCATAATTAGTTAGTGTATATGATGCAAGATTTATTAGTTATGAGTGACGTAGAAAGTCATATTCCTTCTCATTTTGGTATTTTACTTGCATTTGTGACCGTTGGATCAATCAAGCTTTTAATGCCACTTTTCCCATTGGGAATAAAATAAACAAGTTTCTAATTTATTTGCCAATAATCATTTACAGTAGTTCAAATAATATTCTATGAAGAATCATTTTTCTTTTTCTGAACGCTCTTTTTTTTTTTTTTTTTTTTTCCGAGTGCTAATGCAGATGATTCCTCAGTGATGAATCGTCTTATCAATAAGTGTTAACCGTCTTTTATTTAAAATGAGGGGAGTATTTTATGGGGTTTAAGAACTCATTCTTCTCTTTAAGTTTAAAATTGATCGTACTCTTTCTATACTTTAAAATAATGATATTTTAATAAAGAAACGTGAAAATTTGTATGAAAATATCAAAATAAATCAAGTACAAGCTAGCAGTATGAAAAAAGCATATTGTTGTCATATGAAGGTAAGAGAAACTCCAATCGAGTCAATATTAACTTCTCTCCTCTTATTGCATGTTTACTTTTATAAATTTTAAAAAAGTAAATGAATACTTAAATAAATTGACTAGATACTTCTAGTAAAATCTTAGAATAGTCAAGTTAAAGGATATAACCTAATTTATAAGCCAGAGATGTTGAAGGTTTAGTGTTCTAAAACTTAAAGCATTCCAATATGGCTTTTGTGACGAAACTATCATGGAAGATGGTCAACAATGAACAAAAATTATGGATAGAAATCATTAGGACAAAATATCTGGAATAACCTATTGAAAACTAAAAATCTTATGGTATCAAAATAATCAAGACTACCCATGAAACTCTAAATGATTATCATACTTTGGTAACTTTTAGTTTTAAAGAATCTATGTGGATGCATCTATAGAAAGCAAAAATTCTACAAAAACAACGTTATGTCGTGGAGGGTTCCTAATTATAATCAACTGGGTATATCATAAAAAGAAAAAAAAACAAACATGGGAGGCCCTACATATATGTTGTGCCATCGAGGTAAGTAATCATATGGATGTTTATTCCTAAACAATCATATCGCTTGAAAATTTTATGGTTGACCAAAATTTAGGAGCTTAATTTATCATCTATAAAACTCTTAAGCTTAATCCTCAACATACAGAAGCAACACAATCAAGCTAAGGAAGAACGGTATAAAATATTTCTCTACGCTTATATTATGACGCGTTCGATATAAAAACAAAAAATTTTTAGCTAGCATTGTGGAGCTATAAATTTTAAACAAATTAAAATATTGTTTTTGTTAAAACTTTTAGTATTCTCATCTCTATCATTACGAAATTTAGATTTGATCGCCTTTAATATTACATTATTTTTAAAATTTATTAATAACAATTACAATTAAAACCCATAAAGCCATACTTTTTCAATTAATGCTTATCTTATTTCAAATCTTTTTTTTTTTATCCTCCTTCAACAACATAATACAATAGGAAAAGTTGCAAGATTTTCAAGAGTAA